TGCACCCACTGTTAAAGACGAGGTGCGCCTGTTCCCGACACGCCTGTAGACTGGCACAGCAGAACCAGCATCTCTCGTGCTGGTTGACGTCACAGTCTTGGAGCTCCTGGTGGTTGCAGGCCTGAGGGGGGGGGGGGGGGGGATCGAGATGTATGAGATGGGGTCAGTATATACCAGATGATACGGATGGGAGCATTAAAACCTAGCTCATTTTCAGGTATTAATAAGTATTTTGCTCTTAATTTCGTCATCGAGTAATCTACGGGCTTAGCCCCCGAAGTGCGGCCAAAGCCCGCATTGGCCGGCTCTCTTGGCCAATGCCCGAAGAACTTAGCACTAAAAGCGTATTTCGTACATTGGCCGGCCAATGCGCGCACTGGCCAGGACGTACTGGCCAAAGTTCGAAGCGCTTAAACTCGACAGCGTATTTTGTAAATTGGCCGGCCAATCACGAGACAGACATACCAGATGGCTGCCAAAATAAATAATCCAAATCCCAATGGAAAAGAATTTCTGAATCTAGTTATATCTGAACTAAAGAACATGTAGCATGAACTTAAACTAGTTCACAGACAACCAAGGCATAGCCAAAGCCAATGTTTAGTAGAACGTGCCAACTAAGATTTTCAAAACATGATGATGACATGGATGCAGACAGATGAATCAGCTCATTGGGCTGAGAGTCTTTAAAAAACCGTAACTTTCGTCAAGGAATCCAACAATCGCCATACGAAGCCTTGTTTGGATGCAAAACAAATGTGGGACTTAGCACTTTAAGTCTACCAAGAGAGGTTCTCGATTAGTTAGCTACTGAGGAGAAACTTGAGAACATTGAAAATGAAATGGAGGTTGCCATAAATGCAATGACTTCCTCAGCTGACACATCAGCTGCCGTGGCGGAACGACCAGACGAGCTGCGTGACAATAACAAGGCCAACAGATTCTGTGTAGTTTGTGAAAAATATTGGAGTGCAGCCCATTCGTGTGGATCCTGTGGCAACAATGTCCATGCAATATGCGGACTTTGTCCCTAGCCAGATGATCTAGACTGGCCGGTCCATCATGGCCAGTCCGCGGATTGGCCTGCCAAAGGCCGAAATGAAGTAAAGTTTCGGACTTTGGCCTGTCGATAGGAGGTGATATTGGCAAATGCGCGCTTTGGCCGACTTCGGGCTTTGAACGTAACATATATATATATATATATATATATATATATATATATATATATATATATATATATATATATATATATATATATATACTAGCCGTCCCGGCCAGGACCTGCACTGGTCCATGTGAAAAACTTGATTTGTGTTTTTATTAACTAGTTTATACCCCGCATTGCCCGGGGTTAGGAAATATATTACTTTTTCCATTAAATATCTAGATCTATATACAAATCTGGACGTTTGAGAAAATAACACCTAACTCTTCTTTTAATTTAACCTTAAACAACGAACAAACACTACCAATACCAAACAGAGGCGTCGCGGGTGTGCGAACCGCAACGGGTAACACCATTTAGGGGAGTGACACCATGGCAAACACTTGCAAAACATAGAGAAGAAATACGTTTTTGTCAGTTCAATAAACTGTTATTTAGAGTTAATCCACATAAATTAATAACTGAATATCGACAAACATATGTACTATCAACTGTGCACACTTTAAAACTATCACCGGTGGGGGGGGGGGGTGACGCAGACTATAAAATTTACAGAGTAGATGTTTTGTAAAGTATTTAGAATAACTGATAAGTCAATCAACGATTGGAGAGGGGTTGACAACACAATCTAATAATTTAGGTGAAACGATGATTTTTCCACTTTAATTAATAGTTGGATTAATATAATGTGCGTACAAATTGAAGTCATTAGGCAAAGTAGGAACGGGTGAAACCAATTGCAACTACATGTTGATCTTTATGTAGACCTTTATATATATATATATATATATATATATATATATATATATATATATATATATATATATATATATATATATGTGTGTGTGTGTGTGTGAGTGCGTGCATGTGTGTGTGTGTGTGTGTTTGTGAATTTTTTTCGGGTGGAAGGGGGGTGACACTATGAGGTGTCGCACCGGGTGACACCCGACCTAGCGACGCCACTGAACTGAAACCAAAACACAAACACAAAAGCAAACACAAAATCAATCCCAAATACAGTTGCAAACGCAAATGTAATGCAAATACAAACGCAAGCACAACACAAACACAAAATAAAACGCAAACACAAACGCAAATACAAATGCAAACGCAATTCGGAACGAAAACAGAAACGCAAACACAAAATTCAAAAATAAACATAAACATAAACACATGCATAAACACAAACACAAACACAAACACAAACGCAAACCATAACCCTATCCTACTCTTCTAATCATGTATATCCCTGATCCTAACCCTAACCTAATTACTCACGGGTCTGTTGCGGCACGTGAATTCCAGTCTGTTTTCATCTCTCAAGTGAAGCGTGAACTCACATACCTGAAACAGGTGTCAAAAAATTCAATAATTAATTAACAGATTAGCCTCGATAGCTGGGGATAATAACTCTTCTAGCAGAGACAACTCCGAAGTAAAGGATATCTTCAGGTTCGTACAAATATTGTTCTTTTAAAAATGCATTATTGTAATTGTTCTTTTTTTAATCAGTTAGACGTTGTAAAGCTCATGGTTGTTACTTTTTAAATGTCCCGAGTTCGAACCCTCGGACAGATGAGACTCGATAGCTGTGGACAGCAAATCTTCTATGAGAGACAACTCCGAAATCAAACAACTACTGACACACTCAACAACGAACAACCTTGAGACCAAAGGACATGTACTCACGTCGTGATCCTGGTGGCAGTCAACGACTTCAGTGCACGAGGCGGGGTTGCCCTTCTCTGTACATACGGGACACTGAAGGGCTGAAATCAAAGGGCAGAGGGTCAGTCAGGCAGCAGCATATTCAAAGGGCAGATAGTTGGGCAGTGACACACTCAAAGGGCAGATGGTGAGGCAGAAACACCCTCAAAGAGCTCTCCAGGCATGCGCATCAGACCATATCACTATCAACTCCACCCCCACCAGCCCGGTGAGCTGTGGTTCACAACGAATGTTTACAATCGAAGAGCCGGGTCGAATTTGTGACGGCTATTAGGGGCAGATAATTTAGTTTTTAAGCTATTTGAAACTACGTTCTGCTTGATCTTTCTTAACACGTTTTTATTAACTCAGCTTCGTGTGTGTTTGTTTGTTGTTAAAATTGACATCGAAAATTAGCCCACTTCTGATTGCTCTATAGATCTGAAATTTGGCATGCAGGTTACTTTCGCCTAACAATTTCAGATGCAATCATAAAAACTAGCAATTAGAGACCGTAATTAGCTTAATTTAATTACGCCCTAAGGACCATAAAATTGAGGACATGATTTCTAAAGATACCGACAAGACTGGAGGCCTATTGACACAGTTACTTCGGCCCTAATCGATGTGAGCGCGCTGGCCGTGATCGTATAGTGGTTAGTACTTCGCGTTGTGGCCGCGACAACCCAGGTTCGAATCCTGGTCGCTCAAGATTTTTAGTCCGTGTATTTATAAACACTTAGTCAAGTCATACTTAATCAAGTCATTAGATAAAGTAGAAAATAAACTATATAAAAAACTTTTTTTAAAACCACGTTTTTCATGTGTAGCAACGGACTAAAAAGGAGAAAATAAAATACTTAAAAAATACTTTTTAAAAAACTACGTTTTTCTTGTGGATTAAAAAGTAGAAAATAAATTTTTCTTTTGTGCTTCCTCGAGCTGTGCAGATTCTTGTGATGACTGACAAAAAACGTGGGTCGGGCAGATGGGTCGGGAAATTTGATGGTGAACGTACCCACGTTTTTTGTCAGTCATCACAAGAATCTGCACAGCTCGAGGAAGCACAAAAGAAAAATTTATTTTCTACTTTTTAGTCCACAAGAAAAACGTGGTTTTTTAAAAAGTTTTTTTTAAGTATTTTTTATTGTCTTCTGTAAACTGTCGTCAAGTACAGCTGCTTTCACGAGGGCGGGGTGGGGGGGGAGTAGGGGAATGGTGAGGATAATCGTCCTTCACGAGCTACTGATAGTGTTTTCAGTCGCAGTATTAGTAGAGTCGATTTCATAAATTACGTATTACTGAACTACTAAAGTACAAATTAATTATATCGATTAACATTAGTTTACAAAACAAAATAAAAATTAATTGGAAGTATGCTAAAGTCGTCCGTAGGAGCCCCACCCACACGAAATAAACAAGATCACTGGGTAAATAAAGTATATACTGGATGTTGTCTTTTGAGAGAGGTGGGAAAGACTGAATTGACTTGGCTAGATGAAACGTTGTTACGGGGTTCGGCGTGGTCAAGTCGGTAAAGCTCATGGTTGCTTAACCGAAAAGTCTCGAGTTCGAACCATGGAGACAACAACTTCTAGGAGAGACAACTCCTAAATCAAACAATTGGAAGTTTGTTCTTGGTTTGACAAAGGAAGCACATCCAAAAACGAAAAGCAGGCTGAAATCGGAGTCATAACAATCGGTGCATATCCAGTTGACACGTATACTTAATTGTGTTGGAGTGAATCATTTCCTACACTAAAATTTAAAAACGAAGAAGAAGAGTTCGTTGTTGAGTAAAAGTAGCCTTGGCAATTAGAATGAAAAGAAATAAAAAGAAAATGTTAAATATATTCCACGTTTTGGAAAGTACAGTTGGTTGGGCCAAATGCTAACAACACTATCACATCATATACCGAGGTCACAGAAACAGGTGAATTCTATATGTCCCATAGGGAACCTTTTTTTATCCATTGCCCATGGTACTAGTATTTGGTTAAATAAAGTATTAATTAATTCATCTTATTATAATTGTATACATACTTTAGAATATTTTTAGAATATAATAAGTCATATTAACAACAGACGTAGAAGTTAAGAAGTTAACCCTACGTGGGAATCAAAGCGTGCCAAACTTATCTCACATCTAATTTAAAGATTTTGACTTGTGTAAAATCAAAATAGGCCAAAGAAGTTTAGCTAGAAAAAAAAATCATTATTGACCTTGCCACGTAACAAACTAGGTTGTTAAAAACATATTGAACTAGCAAGTTTTTAAAACGTTAACCTAAAAGGAAGTAAAAGATTGACAGTAAAATAGTATGCATCATTCAGTGGGCCTATAAGCTCTGATCTGACAAAACGTAACTCAGAGAAGCTTTGTGTGGTTAGCTTATTGAGTAGGAGAACTACTGTTCCGTTTGTCTTCGCTGGTAGACTTTCATTATCATCTTGTCTCGTTCGTTCCCGAAACACATGGGGCAGATTAGTCAAGTTCATGGGGCATTCGGGGATGGGGGAGGGGTAATGATGACGTCAGCAGTATGCCCAGTAGCACAGATTTCTCATAACGTGAGTCAGGTACCCGACATAGCTGAGTGTGCTCAGGGACTCCTCGAGTACGGGGTTAGAACTCGAGACTTTCATGAAAACAGTCATGATCTCTACTGTCCGAAAACACGCGTTCCTCTCTGATCCCGGAGAAAGTTAACTTTAAAAATAATGAAGAAGAAAATGTGCTGCTGTGGTGGATTTATCTACATATAAGGAAATCTCCCATCATCTCAAACAGCACACTAAATCCAAAGCAGTTTTTTTCTCATTAGCAAAGCGCTATTAAACAAAGCCCATTTATGCTCTTTTCATCATGTTTCTAAATTGAATATCTCATTCCGAAGCGAACTTACTAATAAAACAAATTATTCTTTAATGAGGGAAATCCAGAAATATTAATTTTGTTCTAAGTAATATTATTTCACTTTGCTAAACCATGTGTTAGCTATGTGCTTACATTTTGTCTGAAAATTAGAACGCTAATAATGTTCAATTAGTCGTGCATAATACTTTTGTACTATGTCAATTCAGTAATGAAATGAGACGCTTGGTGTTTCTTCAAAATCTTTTTTCTCCAGGGGGGACTTGATATTTTCCGGGGGGGGGGGACACTGGTAAAAGTATATATTTTCTATATAAATTACTTTTCGTTCGAAGAGATGCCTGTAAGAAATTCTGCAGACGCTCTGTCAACTTATACTAATTTCCTCAATCAAATGGGAGTAAGTGGGTGGGGAAGGACATGACGGTTGGGGATTATATGTGAACAGATACTACTGGCAAACTCCAACTCAATGAAGGGAGAGGGGGTACATACATGTATAGTCAAATACTATTCACCAACTCCAATGAAGGGACAGGGGGTATCTATATATATAATTCTCTTCTGGGAGCCGTTAGAAAACAAGCTGCAAGCGCCTCCTTGCAGTCCCCTCTCTTTCTCTCTATCACTATCACTAACACCCCCACCCCACCCACACATGGTCTGGTGAGTTGTGGTCACGCTGTTTACATTTTACAATCATAGAGACGGGTTTGGTGACGGCTATTAGGGGCAGATAATATAGTTTGAAACGATTTTAAACTTAGAGGAGGTAACTAAGAGGAGGCTGCTTTCACGTGGGGGGGGGGGAGGGGGTTTTAGTGTTTTTAAGCAAATATTTTCAGTGGCAGCATTGGTACTGTCGAATTCACAAATTATAAATTACTGAAAAGTAGAAAAAAAAACCAACTAAATAGCGGCGTATGATACGCAGCGGGTCGGCTCGTATATAATAAGAAACTACTGAAGTACGACAATGAAGAGAGGGTATTTATAATCAGATTCTACAGATTAACGCCAATGAAAGAGTGGGGGTATATGTATTATCAGATACTACTGACCAACTCCAATGAAGGGAAGGGTGGTATGACATTTACAATCCGATACAAATAACCAACGTCAATGAAGTGAGGTTTGAGAGAGCGGGTGTATATAATAAGATTTTACTGAATAAATCCAATGAAGAGATAGTGTATAGATAATCAGATAGGACTACAATGAAGAGATGGTGTATAAATAATCAGATAGTACTACCATGAAGAGATGGTGTATAGATAATCAGATAGTACTACCATGAAGAGATGGTGTATAGATAATCAGATAGTACTACAATGAAGAGATGGTGTGTAGATAATCAGATAGTACTACAATGAAGAGATGGTGTACAGATAATCAGATAGTACTACAATGAAGAGATGGTGTATAGATAATCAGATAGTACTGACTAACGTCAGTGAGATGTTTAATGGGAAAGGGTTTATGTGTACTAGGTACGCAGACATATATAAATACATGCAACTTACCAACGTTCCAACCGAGCAAAGAAACAAACCAACCAACAAACATGGATGAGAAGGGATAATTAATTAGGATAAGGGGATAGACGTGTGAAGATATACTTACCACTGGCGAAAGCCGCCCAACAGAGAAACAAAATAACTTTGGCTAACATCCGAAGATTAGGTGTGTAAGTTCTACAAATGCTTAAAAAATGATTTACTGAAGGCTCAAAGTGAGCTTAAATACAATGGGATCCTCATAAGTTTCTAAACAATTATCTTTAATATTTCAGAATCGATACATAAAAAACGACAAGACGTCAATAATATTTTAGGACCAAGAATACTTGAAATAATCGTAATCGGGATTTCAGAGATTACGTGTTGTTTTTTTTACAAAGAATTTTTTTTTCTGGAAGTATGTGATCAAATCTGTCGTCACGATTCCTGTGGGTCCATAAGCCAAACATTTCAACGTGGGAAAGCCAGACTGGTTTTATCTATTTAGGTTGAAAGCTCATGTACATGCTTATCTCTGTAGATTGTTGGAGAATATGATTTGTTGTATGCCCGCTGGAAACATTGTTTAATCTTGTCTTTACATGTCAGGTGGGCAGTTCTGATTCTTTCCAGGGATGGGTGAACGAAAATCACACCTATTTTTTTTAATTTAAAGTAATTATTGTTTTTTTTTCTGGGGTTATGTTTTATATAAGTAAAAGAAAGAAGCATGATTTTAATAGAGAATAATAGTAATGAAGAAGTTAGATATTGATACATGTCGAAGAGAGAGAAATAGTCTAGATGCGGCCTGCTATAGAGGCAAGAAGAGATCCGCATTTGATGCATGCAGCCATAAATAAAGATTGCAGAAGTTCGCTTTAGATGCATGCAGCCATAAATAAAGATTGCAGAAGTTCGCTTTTGATGCATGAAGACATAAATAAAGTTTGCAGAAGTTCGCTTTTGATGCATGCAGCCATAAATAAAGTTTGCAGAAGTTCGCTTTTGATGCATGAAGACATAAATAAAGTTTGCAGAAGTTCGCTTTTGATGCATGCAGACATAAATAAAGTTTGCAGAAGTTCGCTTTTGATGCATGAAGACATAAATAAAGTTTGCAGAAGTTCGCTTTTGATGCATGAAGACATAAATAAAGTTTGCAGAAGTTCGCTTTTGATGCATGAAGACATAAATAAAGTTTGCAGAAGTTCTCTTTTGATGCATGCAGACATAAATAAAGTTTGCAGAAGTTCGCTTTTGATGTGAGTTGACGTAAACATTATGAAGATATAAAGAAATAGTGCAGATGAATTCATTTATATGTGCAAGCAATGCATATGTGCAATCAACGACATCACCTGCAAAAAACATAATATAAAAAATTGCAAATACATTCGATTTTTGCGTCACAATCGACAATGCAATTTCTTGCAAGCACTTTTTTACTGCGTGTGTTTTGTAGATTTCATGACGTCCATCGACGGGTAAGTCTTAATGAACAAAGTACCTACATGTGAAGTAACGAATGGCACTGTTTACAAAACGTGTACACATCACTGTACAAGTCGGGAACTTAACATTTGTACAAGTCTTATAAAACAATTTACAAGATAAGATACAACTGGGTACAAGAAATTGGCTCGACAAACTGCACAAGTCTATCGTTTATGTGTACAAGATATATAAGTACAAGTATAATAGCACTTTGTAAAAGATAACACACAACTATGTGTACGAGTCGGGGATATTGGTACAAGTTTAGGTGCATTGTGAACAAGATAAGACACAAAACTGAGTACAAGACGTGGACACGACACAGTGCCAGCGAATCTACCGTCTACGTACACGAGACGTGTAAAAAGTTATGTGTCTAAGATAACGGAGTGTGTACGATGTGTTAGTCAGATCCTACCCTATCACACACACACACACACACACACACACACACACACACCTCGTGAGGCGAAACAAGTGTCTTCCTTCATAACGATCCTTATCTATAGCGTTGACGTGATTCTATCAGGTCAAAGCAAGCTAAGGCATTGACGATTTTAAAAATTTAAAAAAAAAAATGAATTTTATGTTTAACAACTTTTTTGTGACATTTATTATTTTTAATTGTAACCTTTTTTTTTTTAGAAATTTTAAATGATTTTTTTTATTTTTTTTTTGGCGAGGGGGGGGGGGTTGAGGGCGGGTTCATACGGGAAGTGCACATGACTGCTACCTCTAAATGTACACCGAATTTCGGCCCCATGTAGATGAGGCTCGTTAGCTGTGGGACAGCTACCCATCTGGGAGTGAAAACTGAAAAGCAAAAATTGCAGATTCTCTTGGGAATACTAAGGCTGTGGAAGCAAATCCAAAAAGAAAACCAGGCTGAAGTCGGAATCAACGGCCACATGGTACATAACATAAGTGTGGGAGACAACCACCATCTATTGTAGCAATTAAGAACGAAGGGGGGGGGGAGGAGAAAAATTAAGCTTTTAATTATTGTATTTCAAAAAAATATAAAATAACAAACGCCGAACTGAAGTAAAATGGCCTATTCGTATTAGATGCAGAGTTTCTTCCAGGCATCTCTTCGAAGCCCCCCCCCCCCCCCCGAAAATTTTTTTACCCCCCCCCCCCCCCCCCCCCCCCCCCCCCCCCCGAACGAAATAAAATTTATATAATTTATATAGAAAATATATACTTTTAGCAGTGTCCGCCCCCCCCCCCCGAAGAAAGTCTACCGCCCCCACGAAAATTTCAAGTGCCCCCTCTGAGAAAAAAGTCTGGAAGAAACACTGATTAGATGTATATACCAGTCTACCAACGAACAACGACACATCGCGTGGGTTAAAAATAGATTGGGGAGTGGTTGACTATTTTGATATGGGGGTGAGCGTGTGTGTGTGGGAGAGGGGCGAATATCTATGCTAGAAACAGAGGCGTAGCGAGGGGGGGGTGCGGGGGTGCGGACCGTATTTAGGGGGGGTGACACCAATCCAAAAAATAGCAAAATGTATGAGAAAAATGATAATTCCACTTAATTAAGTGATTAATTCAAGTGTTAAATAGTGTTTTAAGAGCTGCAAATTGAAAGTTGAGAAGGGGGGGGGGGGCTGCGAATCGAAAGTTTGAGGGGGGTGCAAATCGAAAGTTTGTGTGGGGGTGCAAATCGAAAGTTTGATGGGGTTGCAAATCGAAAATTGAAAGTTTGTCCCCAGGAAGGGTCGCTACGCCTCTGGGGGCGGGGGGGGGGGGTAACACCATTAAGTGCCGCACCGGGTGACACCCGACCTCGCTACGCCACTGGCTAGAAACATCATACTTTATCATATTATCCGTACATTGGTGTCTATCATTGTTATTATGGAAGAATAAGCTAACAACATATTGCCTACATATTCTACAATATCACAGCATTTGAAGTCGGCAGGAACGGAAACGACTGTTAATTTAATCGTAACTAAAATCTTTCTTTGTTGGTCAGCTCTTATAAAAGGTATAATTTGAATTATTTTTTTCGTTTTTTAAGAGATAAATATCGTTTTTTAATTTTTTGCTTTTTAAGATAGTTGACATGAACAGATGGTTTTTTTTTTTGTCTAAATCAGTACAATCAGACAAATCTGTAATTAGGTTTAGGTTTTTTGTCAAAACTTGCACCGGAAATCAGTTTTTTGGCGCCGTTTATAAATAAAATAAATAATCTTTTAGCTAACAGATTAAAACATTTAAATCGCGGTATCTATTTATCAATAAATAATTTACAGTTTAATGAAATAGCATAGAATTATACATGATGTTTTAAATAGTCTACATTAATGAGTAAGATGCATGTAGGTAAGTAAACAAATCGTGGGAAAGATTAGTTGTTTGATATTTTATATATATATATATATAATATATATATATATATATATATATATATTATATATATAATTGTTAGGCCGCCCAACCGCCTTTACTTTCCATAACATGAGTTAGGTACCCATTAGTCTTGGGTGGACTCAGGGACGGTCTACTGACTTGAACACGGATTCAAACTTGAGACTTATGGGCTAGCAGTCCAGCTCTCTACCGCTAGACAACTCCGTCCAATTACTTTTTTTTTGTGAAAATAAGTATTTGTTCTGAACTTTTAAAATTAGTTGGGGTGTTTCTACAGATGAATATAATCAGTAAACTAAGTAGGCTTTATAGTCTTTCAATACATTTCAGTGTAACATTCGGGGAAAATGAACATTTTCTCTACAGAAATACATATTTTACAGTTTCAACAACATCGTGCAGCTGCTCTTATCTAACGAAATAGACAAACAAAAATATAAACAAACAAAAAATAAATAAATAATTATACAAATTTGTAACAACTTTAATTTTAGTAGTATACTGGACTACCCGTTATATTCTTGAATAACCGAGTGTAACGGGCGTAATTCATAAATGACGTCACGTTTGTATGAAGAATTTAAGAGATTTAGAATTTAATTTTTAAACAAGTGAACTCTACTTTACCTACCCCGTGTCCCGCCAAGTCCCGATAGGCAACTTTATCTTCATATCTAAAATAATGATAAATTTAATATTGATATAATGTGTCTCGAACCCGTACCACACGCAAGGTAACTATTACACCATCAACTCAGCTATCTGGGCACTTCCAATACATACATGCACATACAAACATGCACACACAGTGACAAAACACACACACACACACACACTTATACGCAAGTAAGTACACAGTCGCAGACACACAAATACATGTACACTCACAAACACTCACTCACACACAAGAAAGACAAATACGCCTTTACATAAAAGATTGCTGAACTGGGTATTTCCAACTTTGGAAGATGTAGCCTAAGTGAGATTTTTACGCTCTTAAAGGAGGAGATAACATTATATCCTCTAAATGTATCATAACGGAACAAAAATATAAAATTAAAATAAAATAAAATAAAAGCAGTGGATTTAAATGCGTAATATTCAGTTTTAGGAAATAACCTTTCCTTAAAACATTTTTTCTCAACAAAGAATTAGTTATTTCCCTTTAAAACATCTGTTACATTGCTTAATACCACGAAGGTTTCCGGCATACAAGGTTCCTAAGGTAGTGTCCAGAATGGCCCCCATGCGTTATTATGCGACTACATTTGAACTTATGGTCCAATGATATGTCGTTCCTTCCAGGAGATTAATGCTGGGGGGGGGGGGTGTGAAGGCACTGGATGGATGACATCAAGGATTGGACGGG